ATATATATATATATATATATATATATATATATATATATATATATATATATATAAGAAAAGATCAAAGAGACTAATCAATCTTTATATGTAGTCAAAGAAAATGCTTGATAAGTGATGCATTAATCTAACCATTGTTATATCTCCTGAAAGAGGAGAGATATACATAAAGTGATAATAGATGGAGGGGGAGAAGACAGAAGAACAACTTGACACACTTTCCAATCCGCCACTCGTATAATTCTCTCTCTCTCTTTTCCCTCCCTCGCCTCTCTTTCTCCTCTCTTCCTAATCCTCTTTCCCTCCTCTCTCTCTCTCTCTTCCTCTCCCCCTCTCTTTCCTCCCCCCTCTCTTCTTCTCTCCCCCCTTTCTCTCTTTCAATTCCTCTTCCCCAACCTCTCTCACTCTTCCCCCTCTCTCTCTCTCACTCTCTCCTTCTACCTCCCTTCCTCCCCCCCTCTCTCTCTCTCACTCTCCCTCCCTCCTTCTCCCCCCTCCCCCCCCTCTCCTCTCCTCCCTCTTCTCTCACTCTCTTTTTCTCCCTCCCTCCTCCCCCTCCCCTCCTCCCCCCTCCCCACTTATATTTCGTAGGGCGCTATCTCTCAATCTACTTACTTCCCAGTGTGATAAGCGTAGTGTGACAAAGGGGGCGGGGCTTTGTTCATCCTTCATTCATCGTGAATGAGTTATTAATACCTTTTCTCGGGGATTAAAAGTGTTCAATAAAGTCTCCTAAGAAGGTCATTAGAGGGAGGAATAAGTGTGTCGTTTGTATGAGACACACATGGAAGGCTTATATCACACAGCGGCACTTGCCAGGCATCCGCAAAGTAACGAGAGATGGCACTCCCGCGGTTCATTTGCTTAGGTGTGGGTAAGGCAGGTTTATTTCTTATTTTTTTTTCTTCTTTTCTCTCTCTCTCTCTCTCTTCTCTCTCTCTCTCTCTCTCTTCTCTCTCTCTCTCTCTCTCTCTCTCTCTCTCTCTCTCTCTCTCTCTCTCTCTCTTTATCATCATTCTACATTCACTCTTTTACGGAACACCTTTTTATTCTTTGATCTGCAGATTACGAAGCAGGTAGCAGCCAGACTCCCTAATAGAGAGAAGAGAGAGAGAGAGAGAGAGAGAGAGGAGAGAGAGAGAGAGAGAGAGAGAGAGAGAGAGAGAGAGAGAGAGAGAGAGAGAGAGACCGACAGACAGAAAGAGAGAAGAGAAAAAAGAAAACAAGAAAAAAAAAAAACATAAAGGAAGAGAGAAAAAGAGAAGAGAAAAAGAGAGAAAAAAAAAAAAAAAGAAAGAGAGAGAGAGAAAGAAAAAATACATAGACCAAAAAGCAACGAAACTACGGTATTTGTTCGGAAGTCAGGCAGGAGGACGAGGGAGGGGGCCGTCAACTAATCTCTAATCTTCAGTGATAAGATCTTTCTCCCGAGCTGTCACAACTCCTTAGGGCTGCCTTCATCTTAAGACTCACTCACCTGAGGCGGAGGGGCCTGGTGGAGGAGATAGGAGGGTGTTCAAAGGTGTAGGAGTAGGGTGTGTGAGTGTGGGCGGCTGGTGTGAAGGTGGGAGTCGTCGGCGAAGAGGGGGTTTGGGTGTCTCGTGCCTATTCTCCTTCTCTCTCTCTCTCTCTCTCTCTCTCTCTCTCTCTCTCTCTCGCTTCTATTTTATCTCTCTCTTCTATTTATCCTATCTATTTTTTTTTCCTTTTTCTTTTCTTTCTTTTCTTATACTATGCTTTGGTATCCACTCTCTCTGAATCGCTCTCTCCTTTCTTCCCTCATCTCCCTCACTTCCTCCCTACCCCCCCACCTTCTCTCCCTTCTAATATGGTATTGGTATTTTTATCGATATCGAAATTATTGTTATCATCCTTATCGTCATCACCATCCTCTCTCTCTCTCTCTCTCCTCTCTTCCTCCCTCCCATCACCCTCTTCCCTTCCTCCCCTGCCTCCCCCTTCTCTCCCTTCTCCCTCTCCTTTCCTCCCAACCCTTTACCCTCTCTCCCTCTCCCTCCCTCCCTCCCCCTCCCTAACCCTTCCTTCTTACCCCCCCACCTTATCTCCCATCTCCCTCCCTCCCTCCCTCCCTCTCTCTCCCTCCCTCCCATCCCCTCTTTCCCTTCCTCCTCCCTCCCATCCCCCTCCCCTCTCCCTCCCTTCTCCCCATCTTTCCCTTCTTCCTCCCTCCCCCCCTCTTTCCCTTCTCCCTCCCTCCCTGCGTGTTCAGTGGCTCAGTGGGCAAAGGTGTCGACTTCTGATCACCTATTCGGCATTTCGAAATTAAGAACAACAAATACCATACACAATTTTCGAAAAAGGGTTCCTTACCCCCTCCCCCCCACCCACACTCCCTCGCACTAACCCCAATACCAGCATTTTGATTATAAGTAAAATAATTTATTGTATATTTATTTTCACCGCCATTACGTATGCTCCCGATACCTTTCGGTTTGGGATTCGATACCAAATGTGACAATATTTCTCCTCCGTTTCCTATTCCTTGCAGCAATAGGGGATCCAATTTCTTATTAAAGAAAGAATATGAGGGAAAAGAAATGTATCTTATGATCTA